ATATAAATTTTTTTATTTACTGTTAGGTAATCCTTTTCCTAAAAATATTGGTAACGAATATTGTGACGTCGACTACATTATAACTTTTTAATAATGTATTGAATATACAGGGTGTAACTAAATGAGTGTGAAACATTTGAGGAGGTGATTCCTCATCAAAGAAAAGATAGGATCTTTCATATAAAGAAATTTCGTTGGAGCATCCCTTGTTAAGATACAGCCCCTTAAAGGGGGTACATGAAATTTCACAAGCACTANGTGCAGGGTAATCAGAGAGACTCCAGGAATATTTGAGCGAATACTTGGCTCAATGCGCCGACGTCTAGATGCATGCGTAATGTCTGAAGGTAGACATATTGAACATTTATTATGATTTCTACATTTGTTTTTTGTTATTAATAAATTAGTAAATAATAAATCCAGTTCGCATTTATGACGATGTATCTCTGTAGTTGTTCGTAATGTAATTTTTTCTCTCCCCTTTATGTAGGTACTCCCAGATTTGTATCTGTAAAGTATCTTAACAAGGGATGCTCCAATGAAGTTTCTTTATATGAAAGATCCTATCTTCTTTTCGATGAGGAATCACCTCCTTAAATGTTTTACACTTATTCAGTTACACCCTGTATAGAAAGTTTATTATTCCTCTTTTATATTCATCTAGGGAATTTTTATAACAAAATTTGCAAAACTGTTATCAGTGTTGAAACAGATCTGAATCTTCATAACTAAATTATAATAACATAAAAAAATGATATTTACTCTACGTATTATTAAACAAATGTCACGCTCATGAATGTTAACCTAACCGCGCATCTAATGGGCCACTATTCATATTTTTCTCTATCTTAGGGCAAATTTAATCTGTCGTTGTTTTTTCCGCCCTACAAACATCTCTGTGTACGCAACGTTGCCATTTATAAGTTTTAGTCGCAGAAAATAATTATTTTTTTTTATATTCATTCAATAAACATTGGTGCTGTTGAATACATTTCATTAGCAGGAAGTTTCTTCAGTGAATAAAACACGTTGCTCCTTATTCTATTACCATTTAGCTGCAAGTGTGAGTTTATGATTTAAATAGAAGATGATAAAATATCTAGAATCACATTCTGACAGCAATGTTTCCGTTCCAATGCAATACTATTTCTGAGAATGTAGTTCCTAGCATTATGGAATTTTAGTTCAACCCAGATGTACCGCGCAGTAAAAGTAAGGTTAAGTTAAATCATCAGACACCTGTGCAGTATCTTTCCGTTGGAAGATTCGTTGCAAGCATCCTTCTATGAAAAGCTGAAATTAATTTCATTTCCATCAACAGACCGGTTTCGGAGTATTAGCTCCTCGTCAGTGCCAGGCGGGCCGTTTCAGACGGGGTGTACCATATGAAATTCCTCTCAACAGTATCAAATTTTTACTCGAACTTGGCCATTATATTTAATAGGTATTGCTATACCTCAACCGAAGACGCAATTCTTGAACTGACAGAATTGATACATAAATCCTTGGAGAAAGAAAAACCTTCTTTATGTCTATTTATAGACCTAACGAAGGCCTTCGATACTGTTGATCATCAACTACTCCTACAAACTTTAGAAAATAATTGCCAAATGCTTTTTGAAAGCTATCTTCGAAATGGAATGCAAGTTGTGCGAATTGCAGATGCAATTAGCAATCAAAAACAAATAGAATGTGGAGTCCCACAAGGTACGGTACTGGGTCCTTTGTTTTTCAATTTATATCTAAATGAATTATTCAATTTGGACAGCGTTGGGAAAATAATTGGATACGCAGACGATACTGCGATATTCTATGAGGCAGACACTTGGCTTGATTTGAAAAAGAACATAGAAACAGATTTACACTTGCTCAAAAAATGGTTTGACCAAAGACTCCTGACAGTGAATCTGGAAAAAACTAATTTTCTTCCTTTTAGCTGCAATCTATCCAATGATTGTCCATTTGAAACTCTTGATGTCGGCGAACAAGGAAAAAAAATAAAAATAGATTCCCTGAGAGAAATCAAATACTTGGGAGTCTACATAGATAGAAACTTAAGGTGGGACTCTCATATAAAATATACAATAAAAAAACTGCAAACAATGCTTCACAACTTCCGTTCCTTGAAAAATTACCTCACAAATAATTTAATCAAT